GCTGGGTCTTGTGCCCGTCTTGCCTCACTTGCTCTCCTCTTGACCTTGCTTGTACTCTCACATATATATATACCTGCTCTTGCTTGTCTAGCTTTATATATATGTGTGTACTCTTGCATGTGAACTGGCCGTGTGGCCTTGACCCTGTGCTCGGACTGTGTGGTGACTTTGTGATCCACCCTGAGCTTGCTTTGCTTTGCTTTGCTTGACTGGTCTTGTGACCCCTTGTTCTCCCCCACTTTGCCTATGGGGGTGTGTCAGAACATTGTAGCTTATGCTGTTGTGTAGGCTATAGTGGGGTATCCCATAGGGGGTACAACCAATTAGGGTTTCATATTTGTACTCACTTCATTTCATAGTTCATTCATTCTCGTTCTCATTCTCACATGGCGACCGTCTACGCGACCTCGTTGGCGACCGTCTACGCGACCTCATTGGCGACCGTCTCATGCTCACAAGAGCACGAGAGGCGCTACGGAAGCTTTCAAGCATTGGCGCCGCCACGGATGTATTCAAGGTCGCCTCGCCGACCCCTCACCGACCGTCGCCTCGCCGACCGTCGCCAATGGCGGACTTGACACCAATGCTTTGGGGTACGTAAATCACTTCAAACTTTTGCCTCGAAGAACTTCTGTTTTTTCTTTAACAAGTACTAATATCTCGCCTTCTTCCTTTTTCAGACCTCGGCGACCTTCTTAGCGACCGTCTATGGAACCTCATTGGCCACCGTCTATGTGACCTCATTGGCGACCGTCCGTGCGACCTCATTGGCGACCGTCTATGCGACCTCATTGGCGACAGTCTCATGCTCACAAGATCGCGAGAGGCGCTGCGGAAGCTTTCAAGCATTGGCGCCGCCACGGATGCATTCGAGGTCGCCTCGCCGACCGTCGCCAATGGCGGACTTTACGTCAATAGTTTGGGGTACGTAAATCACTTTTGTTTCGAGTAACTTCGGTTTTTTTTTTTTTTTTTTTTTTTTAGGAATTGATATCTCGCCTTCTTCCTTTTTCAGACCTCGGCGACCGTCTTGGCGATCGAAGATGGCCGAGACACGAAAGCTCCGCAGTCACCGATCAGTCACGATGCTCCTGACGCCAAGTCCTGACGCGAGCATGGGGACGCGGTGACGGATGGGGGCAATGCAGCCGCATGACGCTTCTTCGGGCTCGTCTCACGGCGCACGGCGCATTGGAGGCGCTTGGCGACGCTTCGGTTCGCTACAAGCTGCGCCTCTCACGAAGGACTCCCTTTGTCCTTGTAAGTTTCAGTTTCAGTTTTCGTTGCTTTTTTTTCCGGATTCTAACTACTATGTTGTGTGCTCTCTCTTTTAGCGCAGGGAGGGGCGGAAGCGGGAGTCAACGGTGGCGGCGGGAGTTCAATCTACCACGGGGGACTCCCACTCTCTCTCTCTCTTTGTAAGTCTCAGTTTCAGTTTTCATTGCTTCTATTTTCCGGATTCTAACTACTTTCTTGTGTTCTCCCTCTTTTAGTGCACCAGGAGAAAAGCGGGAGTCAACGGTTGCGGCGGGAGTTCAAGCTACCACGGGGGACTCCCTCTCTCTCGTAGTAAGTTTCACTTTCAGTTTTCATTGCTTCTATTTTCCGGATTCTAACTACTTTCTTGTGTTCTCCCTCTTTTAGTGCAGCAGGAGAAAAGAGGGAATCAACGGTTGCGGCGGGAGTTCAAGCTACAGTACCACGGGGGACTCCCTCTCTCTCGTAGTAAGTTTCAGTTTCAGTTTTCATTGCTTCTATTTTCCGGATTCTAACTACTTTCTTGTGTTCTCCCTCTTTCAGTGCAGCAGGAGAAAAGCGGGAGTCAACGGTTGCGGCGGGAGTTCAAGCTACCACGGGGGACTCCCTCTCTCTCGTAGTAAGTTTCACTTTCAGTTTTCATTGCTTCCATTTTCCGGATTCTAACTACTTTCTTGTGTTCTCCCTCTTTTAGTGCAGCAGGAGAAAAGAGGGAATCAACGGTTGCGGCGGGAGTTCAAGCTACCACGGGGGACTCCCTCTTTCTTGGTAAGTTTCAGTTTCAGTTTTCCATCATTTTTTTCTTCTGGAGACTAACGTTTTGTTGTGTGCTCCATCGCAGGAGCGGCGTGAGCGGGAGACAACAGCGCTGGTAACGACGCGAGAGGTCAACGGCGTTGACCGAGCTTGGACGGCGCTGGCGGGGAGCAACGGCGCTGGCGGGGAGCGGACGCCATCACTTCACAGCTTTCCTCTCCTCTCTTCTTCCAGTGCCCCGTGTCAGGTTGAGAGACAACAAGCACGAGGATCAACTTCAACTCGTCTACGACGTTAGACTAGACTCGTTACAGACGGACACGATACAGATTCGCGTAGAACCGACCACGGAACAGACTGATAGACTCGAACCAAAAAGCCCGGCACGGTATGCCGCGGTTGGGTGGGTTTCGACGGGGTCCGCGGTTGGGTGGGTTTCGATGGGGTCCGGGGTTGGGTGGTTTCGATGGGGACCGTGGCTCACTTTTTTATAAGGTACTTGTATGCCAGGTAAGCTGCAGGTTGTCTGACATCAGCGCGACTCGAGGATTCCCACCTGACGTCTGACAGCAGTACATCCGAGGCGGTTTTCTGCCCGTGGCAGGGCAATTCATAATTCCCCCCCCCCAATAAGTACTCATTCTTTTCTTCCCTTCCTTCCTCCCGCCCCAAACCACCCCCCCCCCCCCCCCACCAACCCTCCAACAGGTGTCCCGTGCGAAAAACCCCCACCTCAACGCGGTGCACTGGTGAAACGCTAGAGGCCTGGCCTCGCCTCTAGCGGCCAAGAGGGGTCAAGACTCAGACCGCGGTCTCAAGTTCCCCCACCATCGAAGTTCCCCCACCAGCCCGTTTTTTCAAAGCTGATGGGGGTTTTGGTGGGAATGCTCCCACTCTGACCACCGAACCCCATTTTGACGGGCGACAGATGTCGCCAGCATCGCATGTCCAGTATCCAATGAAATTGACGCGCCAGCTCGCATACCAAGTGTTGGACTAACCTCGTCAGGCAAAACCCAAACGGCCGAGCCTGACGGTTGCGCCTGACGTAAAACTTTGGCACAATAGTCAAATCAAGTCAAATTGGGTATCATTGGCAGATTCTTGCAAGCAGGGCAGATATGGGTTGCGTGGGCAGGAAGGAAATATATATTGCCGGCCATGTGCACGAAATTGGCATGTCTAACACCGTAGTCCCCACAGGCAGCAAACGTGGCACGATCTCCATCGTCGCACAATGACGGACAGGCCAGGCATTGCGACCGTGGCCGGTTGGACGCAAGGTGGGGAAAAGTCGAACCGCGTGAGGGAACTTTCAAATGTGATTTAATGCCACGTCAACATTTCGAGTCGCGTGGGGGAACTTTTGCTGGTGGGGGAACTTGAGAATGCGGCCTCAAGACTCAAGACTCAAGAAGTGGAGCAGCAGCAGAGGGTCGGCCTGTCGTCGTACAGAACCAGAATTTGAAGCTGGTTGTAGTCTCTAGTTGGAGATCGCTTCCTTGTACGGCACTGTAGCGTTAAATTGCAAGAAACTGGGTCCGCAGAATCTTCCCCGATAAGTGGGCTTCTGCCTATCAACATTTGGTGATAAGCGCGGTCCGGCCAAACCTGCTTGCGCCAAATTTAACGCTGCAGACTGCATAACGCCACTTCTGGGGCACACAAATTTAACGGGGTGAAGATTCCACGATGTTGCTTCTCCAGGCAAATGTCCGCACAACTTGTGCGGACCCAATTCTGCCTCGAGAGGTATCATCAGCCAGCGCACAACTTATGCGGGGCAGCAATTTGAGAGATTTGAGAGTTCGACGAGACTTCGTGGCAACACCGCCCAGCAAATTGAGAAATTTGACATTTGGTGCGGCGAGAAGCTACGGGGAAGGACTGAGACCGTACATTTGATGCGGAGGAAATAACGCCTACAGAACGCGGCCTACCGTCATCACCCGGATATAAGACAGTGTTGAATAGTAGACAGGGGTTGTCTACTATACGGGTGTCTCTTATAAACAGGCTAGCCTCATTATAAGACACCTATTTGCGTGTATGAGATAAGACATATATGTCTTATAATCGAAACTTCAATAAATTATAGCGAAAGTTGAAGTACCGCGTACTTTTTTACCCTTGCGAAGCGCGAATTCTTCCACGCGCTGACCCAGGACCTACCAAATTTGCCCCTGCAGGTGTTCTCCATAACGTGGCGTCTCGGGCAGAGGCTATCGAAGTGGCACCTTGCAACATCCACACGCATTATGAGAAACTCTTTTTAAAGAAGTACGGAAAATATTTCTAAGTAGTTTAAAAAGTTTCCATTTATAAGACTTATAAGACACCCTAAACCATCCCGTTTACAAGATAACTCAAGCATTTTTGCCCGTGTACGAGATAAGACATATATGTCTTATATCCGGGCGATGACGGTATGTGTGACATGTTTTATATTGATTTCTTTCATCTTGACCTGACACGGAATACAAATCCCTCAGCGGAATTACTTCGGAAGTACTAGACTCAGACTCAAGCACGATCGAACAAACAGAAAGCACCATTGTAATTGTCGACGAGCAATTTCTTCCTAGGAATGGCGATTTTAACTCTCAAGTTCTCAGTGAGCAAATACTCTTGCTTGGCGATCGCACGCTTTCTAACCTCATCAGCCGCACGCTTCTTACATCGAGATTGAATCTTAACATTTCCAGCGTCGTTTACTCCTCTAGCCTTCTTTTCTCTTCTTGGAACTTCTTAGCAATAGCTGGGAGCAAAAGCAACAGCTTGGTGCGTTGCTCCTCTCGCCTTACGACGTCCCAGCTTTGCAAGATAATCAACAACTGATGTATCTTGCCTTTTCCGAAACGAATATGTCTCTTCTGAAATAAAATAAAAAAAATAACGTCTGTTCGGCGAGTTTCACTGCTGGTGTCGGTTGCGCGTGTGACTTGTTCTCGCGAGCAGAGCCGCTGCTGGGAGCGGCGAGCGAGGTGATGGCGGCGCTAGGGCTGGCGCATCTGCTGGTGGGGCGCTCGCACGAGTGCAAGTTCCTGCCGTCGCTGCTCGCGCTGCCGTGCGTGTCGTCGCCCGCGCTGGGGCCGGATATCGAGCAGCAGAGCTGTGCGACGGTGCACGACAAGGTGAATCGCAGAGCTGTGCGATAATGCGCGACAGGGTGGTTGCAGAGCTGCACGATAGGGTGAGTCGCAGAGGTGCGCGATAGGTTGAGTCGCAGAGCTGCGCAATAGGGTGAGTCGCAGAGCTGCGCGATGCGCGACAGCGTGAGCATTGGTGGGGGGGGCGAATGGCGGCACTATTTTGGCCAGCATTCATTGCAATCGGAACGTTTTCCAGTTTCCCCCCAATCTTCCTCCCCGCGCCCACTTCCCCACTTCCTCTTCCGGTTTTACAGCTCATGGAGCTGGTCACAACGGGGCACAGGGTGACCAAGGAGGAGAGTTTTGAGTTGACTTGAAAGACTTTGACGCCCCTTCTTTTCCGCGCCAGCTCATGGAGCTGGTCGCCACTGGGCGGGGGGTGACAGAGGAGGAGGCGGCAGCATCGTGTGTGGCGCTGCGGCATGCACTGCAGCAGCAGCTGAGGCAGGAAGGTGCTGAGGCATTCATTGCCCCTGCTGCCACCGGCTTCCCTCCACCCATCCATCAAGGTGTGAGGAACACGGGGAATTGACCGAACTATTACCCTGGTCTCTATTGTCGCTGATACTCATGCCTGCGGCCACTCCTGCTAGTGAGATGTGTGGTTGTCATGAGTGCCTTGAGATGTGGTTTTTGAGATGTCTCAAAAGTGACGCTGCCCCTCTCGTCTCATGCGCCCACCTCCCGAGCAGGCACGGCAGGAGATCCCATCATTTCCATCCCCTGGAGCCATGCTGGCCTGCCCACTGTCACCGTGCCCGTCGCCCTCACACCTGCTGCTGCTGGTTCACCTGGGAGTGCTGCTGCTGGCAGCTGCACACACGAGGGTGGCACTGGTACTGCTGATGAGAGCAAAGGGGAGAGTAAAAAAGATTATCTTCCCGTGGGAGTCATGCTTATTGGGATGTGGAATGAGGATGAGAGACTCCTCGACGTTGCAACGGAGCTTGAACACTTTTGTGATCGCACTTCACCATTGTCAATCTAGTTGTACCGATATCCATTCCTTATTTGCTCATGCAATTGGAGGGGTGCTTCCTCAACTATCCAATTTATTCTGCGTCGATTCTGCACGTACACCCCAGCTAGCGCAACATCGCCCGATACTGCACCCCTGAACTCTTGCTGCATTAACAACGAGCTTGCTGAGAGATGGTCTAGCTTCCACCCTGCTCTTCTCCCACGCCCCCTGGCTCCATGGTCACACGCTCTTGGTCCAGAGCACAGCAGCAATGACGGAAATTGCCCCCTCCCTACAGGTCAGGCCTGCCATCCCACGGAAGCGCGCCAAGCCTCCACACACCCGCCTGTCAGGTGCGTGTAGGCCGTCCCCTCATACTTGACCTCAACCCCTGGGATCTTCTCTCCTTCTTGACACACTAAGCCATTGGCATTGGAGCTGGGGAGGCAGGAGCGAAGAGGAGTAGTGTCATCCGCACCAGCACCACCAGGGGCACCGGCGGCAACCGCACCATCGGAGTGGTTCGATGCGGTTCTGTGTGGTTGGAAGCGGTGAGCATGCAGCATCTCCAGCATGATCTCAGCAGATTCAACAAGGGTGGGCCCTGAGTTGTTGAAGTATCGGTCCCCATCCGCCACAAACACCGCATCCCTCTGCACCGCTCTCAACCGGTTCCACTGCGGCAAATCCTCAGAGGTCAGGAGCTCCTTCAGAATGGCCTCTTTTGAAAGGCCGCAGCACATGGTGATGATTACGTCCGGATCGAGAGAGACAAGGGCCTCAAAGGAGAGTATTGCAGTACGTTCCCCAGGCTGATAAGGGCGGGGGGAGGGGTAGGAAAAGGGGGTGGGTGGCAAAGGGGCAAATACAGGGGGGTTGGGCTGAGAGAAAGGAAGTGAATGGTAGGGAACGGAAAACGGTGTGGGCCGATGGAGAAATGGCATTCAAGGGTGGAAGGGGGGGAGAAAGAGAAGGCTGCAGTCATCGCAGGCACACCAAGAGCGCACGGGAAAAAGAATGGCCGTGTTTCCCACTCCCCCCAGTCCCTTGCCTTTCTCATACCGCTTCACATGTTTCCCATAAACCTTCCCCCCATGCAACCTCCCCGAGTCTCACCTTCCCCGAGAGGCTCTCCCCGCCAGCGCACGCGACGATCTCGGGCACCCAGTACCCCGCGCCCATCAGCGGCCGCACCCACTGCAGGCACACCACACGCGGGCGCGCGCACGCCCCCTCCGCGCCCCGCGGAACCTGCGCGCGCACGCGCGCCCAGCGCGCCTGTAAATCTTCCACAAGCGCGCGGCCCTTGTCGCTGTGCCCGACCGCCGTGGCGATCTGAAGCATGTTGTCCCACACGTCGGACGCGCTCATTGGTCGCAGCGACACCACGTGGCACGCGCGCCCCGCGTCGTCGCGCTGCGCGAAGTACTCCGCGCACGCCGCCTGGAGGTCCGATGCAGTCACGGCGCACACGTCGCACGCGTCCTGCGTTATAATCACATCCGGCTGCAACCGCCGAATCGCCTCCACGTCCACGTGGTACCGCGACAGGCCCTTGCGCACGCGCTCCGACAGCTGCGATTCGGTTTTACGCAAGGGGGAAAAGGGAGAGGGGAGAGGGGGGAGGCTGCGATCCACCCTGTCTACGCAAATGCGGTCATTTCACGCTAGTGGTTGAATGAAACTCCACTATGCATTTTCGAAAATATCTACGCCACCTTCTCTTGCCCGCTGCTCAACCTCTTGTCGCAATCGCACAGCTCTGCGACTCACCCTGTCGTGCACCGTCGCACAGCTCTGTTGCTCGAGATCCGGCCCCAGCGCGGGCGACGACACGCACGGCAGCGCGAGAAGCGACGGCGGGAACTTGCACTCGTGCGACCGGCCCACCAGCAGATGCGCCAGCCCTAGCGCCGCCATCACCTCGCTCGCCGCTCCCAGCAGCGACACCACCCGCAGCGCCCTGCCCGTGTCTGTCTGACCCTCCCTATCGCTATCGTTCGCCATCACGCTGCTGCCGCCTTCGTGGTGTTACCCGCGCTCACGAACCGTTACGAGCCAGCACGCAAACATAGAATTCTAGATTCTTTCGACGCGAGGAGTCAATGATGCTAAGTCGAACGGCGGCCGCGATCGAAGAACGCGCCGTCCGTGCGACACGCTTATGGAGAACTGTGATCAGGTGTGTGGTATGGTCCGTAGAATCACCATAGAAAAAGCATATCACAGATCGGGATTCGCGCCACCCCGAGGCCCATCTATAGAATCCTTGGGGACTTTCGCGGATTCAAACGTGGCGCTGTGGGATGATGACTGCAATGACCAGGGTGCAATGCGGTGAAGAGCAATTGTGAGAACTTCAGGTACCGTATATTTGCAACAGAGTCCAGCGTAGATATTTCACTGGTGTAGTTCGGTACAATTGTGACCCTAAAATCTAAGGCGCCACATGAATATACACGCTAAACCATTCGAAATCAGCCTAGGTTAATGATAGAAATAATAATAAATATTATTGAAATCCATTTCATATGGATCATTCTTGCCATCCTCTTGTGAAATATATTATAACCTTCAGACCAGGGCTCATTTTTGGTTTTGACCAACCCTTACGATCAGTCTAGCACCTGTTCAAAAACCTGATTTTCAGGGTTACCCGTTGTGGAAAACCTGATGCGTCAGGGTTTTTGCATGTATTAAAACGACTACCCTGAGGCATCAGTGTACCAATTCGCAAAACCCTGTTTCAGTTGTTATTAACACAGCACACAATAACAAGCTTAATCATCATCATCAGACATGCCACACGGTTGTTGCTCGTGCTCACTGTCCTCCTCTGGCTCCGGCACTTTCTCCTTGCCTTTTCGTTCCGCTGGGGTCGGCAGAGCCACTGTTTTCGCCGGCCGTCTGGTTTCGGGGTCGGGTGGTTAGGTGACGGGGGGGGGGGGGGGGGGGGAGGGGGGGGCTGGTACACGCTTCAGGGTAAACCTCGATAAGTGGAACGGCAACCCTGAGGCGACAGTGTTCCTTAATCTTAAAACCCGGCACATCAGGGTAAATCAAGGTTCCAAAAAAATTACCCAATGGCAGCAGTGTTACTACCAAAAATCACCCTTCTAGTCAGGGCATCAGGGTGATTTACACTGATAACGTGGGCCCTGCTTCAGACAGGCTAACAAAAGGGATGATCAGGTTGTAATACTATACAGCACATCAAGAATGTTTTAATTTGTACGTGTATCTTGATTCTCAGCCGTTCAAGCAATCTTCTTTGCAGCGAAACTCTCCATTCTGCTTGGCCCAACTGCCGCCATATCCTACCCCACCGCCATTAGGTACCTCTCTTTCCGCCCTATTCCTGTTCCTGCTCTGCGCCTCCCCTCCACGGCGCGACACCATTGGGAAATCTTAACGAATAAGCTTATATATCTTTTGCCGCAACTGCGCTTAGTATTCACATTTTTCGACGACCGTCTCTCTGCGATTTTGCTGCGGGTGGGAGGTTTAAGCCTTGGCTCGAATCGCACGTCCCCATTTCGCCGTCCCCGTTTTCGGCGCTTTAATTAAACTCAGCGCATCATGCGGCCACCGCGCGGCGGAGGTTTCAGGGGGAGGGGCGGCGGAGGATTCGGAGGTCGCGGCGGGGGTTTCGGCGGAAGAGGCGGCGGAAGAGGCGGCTTTCAACGGGATGAGGGGCCGCCGTCCCACGTTGTGGGTAAGCAGCGACCTGTTTGGGTGGGGCGAGGAACGGCGAGGGGCGACGAGGGGAATGTAGGGAACGAATAGTCAGAGAGTTGGCTGGGTCGTCTTAGAATCGCTCGTGGCGGCGGTTTATGGTGGTGGGCCACGAAGAAAGTGTAAAGAGGCGATTGCGGGGGAGGTCTGATTACAGTGTTTATTGCGGGAGGTGATGTGGCCCTGTTCGCTTCGTCTCGTCTGCGCCCTTATCCTCTGTGCCCCCGTGCATGACGCTCACTCCCCGTGCGCACCTCCCGTGCGTCGCGCGTGCAGAGGTGTCGACGTTCATGCACGCGTGCGAGGGCGAGGCGGTGACGCGGCTGACGGTGGGAGAGAAGGTGCCGTACTTCAACGCGCCCATCTACCTCGAGAACAAGACGCAGATCGGCAAGGTCGAGGAGATCTTCGGCCCCATCAACGAGCCGGTCAGTGCGGTTGAGTGCGGTGAAGATGGGTTGAGTGCGGTGAGGTGGGGGCTGATTGCGGCTGACGGTGGGCGACAAGGTGCTGTACTCCAATCAACGCGCCCATCTACCTCGTGTATGTTTTCTAGTCAACTTCGAATGCAAACTTGCTCACCTTAATCTACTTTTAAGGCGGCTGATCCCCGCCTTCCCCACTTTCCTGAAATATTTTTCGATAAAGATTCAGGAGGGCAGGTGGCGACGTCTTACTCGCTGTTTCCCCGCCCTCATCTTTTTCTCTGTCCCTGCTGCGCTCTTTCCCTTTCTTCCCTCCCCCCCCCTCCTCCCCTCCTCCTTTCCACCGTGTGCAGTATTTTTCGATAAAGATGCAGGAGGGGGTGGTGGCGACGTCCTACTCGCCGGGGGACAAGTTCTTCATCGACCCCATGAAGCTGCTGCCGCTGCAGCGCTTCCTACCGCAGCCCAAGTGAGTGTAGGGGGATTGAGTGCGGTACTGGGTGGTGTGAATTGGTGGTGGCAATGTTGACCCCATGAAGCTGCTGCCGCTGCAGCGCTTCCTGCCGCAACCTAAGTGAGTGTAGGGGGATTGAGTGCGGTACTGGGTGGTGTGAATTGGTGGTGGCAATGTTGACCCCATGAAGCTGCTGCCGCTGCAGCGCTTCCTGCCGCAGCCCAAGTGAGTGTAGGGGGATTGAGTGCGGTACTGGGTGGTGTGAATTGGTGGTGGCAATGTTGACCCCATGAAGCTGCTGCCGCTGCAGCGCTTCCTGCCGCAGCCTAAGTGAGTACAGTACAGGGGGGTTGAGTGCGGTGCTGGGTGGTGCGGGTGGGTGGTGCACTCTGGGATGAGGTGCTACATGGTCTTTCCCTGACTCACCTCTGTCTATTCCTTGTATTCCTTCCTTTTTTACTCTTCACCCAATTATCTTTCTCCATTTGTCTCCCTCCTCTCTCGCCCCTTCCACCTGTTCTTCCCCCCTCATGAGTGCAGGGGTGCCAGTGCAGGGGGGAGAGGGGGCTTTGGAGGCCGGGGAGGCAGGGGGGGTCGTGGAGGGGGGCGAGGGGGATTCAGGGGAGGGGGAAGGGGTGGAGGAGGTGGGTTCAGGGGGAGAGGGGGAGGGGGAGGGTTTCGGGGTGGAGGGGGGGGGATTCAGGGGGAGGGGTGGTGGTTTCCGTGGTGGTCGTTTTTAGGGTGGCAAGTCAATGCGCGCATGTGTTCGAGATTTTGGGTGTAGTGGCATGTGCATACACCAAGGAGATTAAGATTTCCACTGTCCATGTCTCATCTCATAGTGTGCTGAAATGAGAATTTGCTAATTCTGTTATTGATGTGTGCCAAAGGACCACCTTGCAATGTAGTGTAGATCCGTTTGTGATTAATTGTTTGGATAAAGATACTCAGTGTAGGAACTTCACATGGGAGTAACGCGGTTGTTACATGAAAACGACAGGCGCGCGAAGCATCCCATCCCATGATCACATGACATGGACAGAATCGTGCATCCTGACACTTGACCGCAACACGCCAGTTCAACCAAGCAGCCTTTCCTCGCGCCACCTCAGCCGCGCCCTCGCGCCTGAACCCGCCCCTCACGCCACGCGCTCGTGACGATTCTCTAGGTGCCTCAATATTCGTCTCTTCACGCGCGACGCCGTCCCGCCCGCCGCCATGGACGCTCCCCCTTCCCCTTCCAACGCGTCCGTTCCGCGGTTCCTCTTCATCTCACCCTCCGCCTCCTACCGCGACCACCCGCGCGGACCCCCTTCCCCGCCCTCCCCCTCCGCCACCGCAGCCTTTCCGCGCTTCTCCCCTTCCCGCTTCTCCCCCGCCCGCTCCATCGGTGCGCGCCGGTTGCGCTGTCTGTCCGCGCGGGGGAATGGCGCGGGGGAAGAGGAGCATGCGGATGAGTACGGGGGGAGCGACGAGTCCGGGGACGACGGCGGAAGCATGGGGGGAGGGGATGACTTGCGGAGAGACGGGGGAGATGCGGAATATGCGGACTATTATGCAAGTGGGCGGGTTAATTCGCACCCGTTAGAATCACACCGCACGCCTAGTCACTCCCCGGGCTTCAGTATACCTTCCGCGCAGCAAGCGCGCAGCAGCAAATCGGTAGGCGACACGTCAGCAGAACGGGAGGGCTCCGACGAATATAACCAGCCCAGTCGAGACGACGATGATCCCGAACGAGAAGCGGAGGCTCGGGAAGCAGCAGGGTTGGGTTTGGGGGACGAGGAGTGGCTGGGTGTGTCGGGGCATAGGGGAGGCGGCAGCGGGGGAGACGGAAGGGGGGGCGGCGGCAGCAGGGGAGGCGGAAGCGGGGGGGGCGGAAGCGGGGGAGGCGGAGGAGCGCGGGGGGCGCTGGAGGTGGCGATGGAGAGCCGGTCGCTGGCGAACCAGCTGCTGCGCGCCGATGAGGAGGGCCGCCTCCGCTGCAAGTGCGTTCCGCGCGGGGGGAGGGGGTGGGGAAGGGTGCATGGGGGTGGCGGGGAGAGGGGTTGAGGGATTCGGCGAGGGGTTGGGGGTTGGGGGTGGCGGGGGAGAAGGATTTCGGGGGTAAGATGGGTTTATGCAGTGGAGAGGGGTTCCGGGGAGAAAGAGGGGTGTAGTTTTGGGAGGGCTTTAAGCGGCGGAGAGGGGCTTATGTGACATGGGGTATTGAAAGGAAGCTTTGACTTGAGTTCTGGTTTGCCCATTCCTAGTGGGAGAAGGTGTAAGGGGGAGATATGGTTGGGGGTTCTGAAGGGTAGGGTTACCCCACTATGACACCCGTGCACATATTTGTGTGTGTATGTGTGCATGGGGTGCGTTCATGTGCATGTGTGTGTGCGCAGGCTTGCAGCGCAGCGGTGGCCCCAGGACGCTGATGTCTTTCAAAAGATTGACGAGTACTACTATAAGGGGTATGCCTACCACTATCTCACTGGCTCCAAACACTTGAATTTCCAAAGCCGCTGGACTAATGTTTGGAAGCTCTGTCTCCTTCGCCCTCCCACGCACACATGTGCATCAATTCAGGGTGGCTGTTCATGTGCGTGTTGCCACTGTGTGCCCCTGATCATTGTGTGTCACCATGCCCCCCATATGCCCCCCATATGCCCCCCATGCCCCAATGCTGGCATGCCCACAGCACACTACTGGAGTCGGACGTCAGAGCCGTCACCTCGCCTTCTGCCCTCCAGGTATCCCACGCACAACGCCTTCCTCTTTCACCGCACACCTCCTACCTGCCTCACCCTACACCGCCTCCTTCCCTCGCCCCACGCCTCCCATGCCCTCTATCCACTCTCTCCCCCCTCGTCCTTCGCTGTCACAAATTCTCACTCCCACACCGCCCCTCTCTGCAGTAGCTCTCCTTTCCCAACGCTCGTTCCCACCATCTGTTTATCAACTCAAGTCGTTTCCTTTTAAATATCTTCCAAGGCCCGACATTCTTTAAGGTTCAAACTTACCAATTGCGTGTTTCTGAACGTTGTTTCCTCCCTTACCCCCCCCCCACGCCCCTCTCCCAATCCCGTGCAGGACATGGGTCGCTTCCTCGCCTCCTCTGCTCGCTTGCAGGATGCAGACGCACCAGCCGAGCAAGCAGGACACAAGGGCACGGGGAGGGGCAGGGGGAGGGGCAGGGGGAGAGGCAGGGGGACGCGGGAGGAGGATGGGGGCGGGAGAGCGGGCAGAGGGGAGAGGGGGAGAGGGAGAGGGCAGGGGGTGGCGGGAATGGGAAGGCAGTGTGGGGATGGGGAGGGGTGGGAGGTGCGGGTGGTGGGAGGGGCGCTAGAGGCAGTGCTGCGGCTGAGTTCCCTGCTCTCACTCTCACAACCTGTATCTGCTGCCACCACTGCTGGCACTGCTGATGCCGCTGCTGCAGCCGCTGATACTGCTGTTGCTGCTGCCAACAATGCGAGAGCTGCTGCTGTGGCAGCTGATGAGCGGAGCAGGGCTGCTGCTGCTGGTGGTGCTGCTGAGGCAGGAGGTGCAGTGGCAGGCGGTGCGGCAGGAACAGGTGCAGTGCAGCAGAGCGCAGTGAGGGACGACCCTTGGGGTTTGTCCGCCTTCTTGGGAGGAGGAACTGCCTCGCTGGCAGCTGACGTGGATGCCAGACAGCATGCGACCGATGATAGGCCGCCAGCTGGCAGGACCGGGGGGAGGAAGCGGTCAGCTGCTGATGCGTTTGAAAGGGGGAGGGAAGGGGGGTGGGAGACACAGGGTAGGATGGATGGGAGATGGAGGAGAGGGGAGGATGGAGCAAGGCGAGCAGCAGAGGAGAGGGAGAGAGTGAGGGAGGAGGAAGAGGAGAGGAGGAGGGAGGAGAGGGAGGCGGTGTGTGACGAGGCGGCCACCCTGGCGTGGAACATGATTGGTCGAGCGCTGCTTGCGAGTGCGAAGCAGCAGGGAGTGAAGCTGCTGGGCAGAACCGAGTCGGCACTGTTCCAGATCACTCTGCCGCCCAGTCTGGACAACTCAGGTGCGTGATCAGAGGCTGCCCAGCATGAAGCGGCTGCATGGGTGCTTAACACCTTTCCACTGCTGTGTGCTTGGCTGACTGGATGGCCGAGAGCTCGTGCTGTGCTGAGTCCTGCCTGTGCTCCCACTCAAACCCCTCCACCTGCCCTCGTGGCCCAACCCTTGTCTTTGGAATGACTGCCCTTTCTCCTTCACAGATCCAAGCATGGAAAGCCTGAGGGCGGAGTATCGCCGTGCATGTTTACACATTGGCTCCAGATAGGTCACGGCAGGCACGTCACAGGATTATTGCTTCGAGGCAAGCGCCAATGGCAGCCCCTTGTGTCAAGACCCAGAAGAGGGTGAAGCATGCACGTGTGATGCATACGGTAACTAGTGTCATTTCAACATGGAGTTATGTGGTGCGTGTGTGCTCAACAAGTGGTTCTGCATTTTTCGCGTACAGCACAAAGCCAGGTTGTCATTAGGTTGCTGCTTGGTGCATCCATTGGTTGACTGAGTGTAGGTACCGCATGCTCAATTCATATGTAAGGGCCTGATTCGTTGCCAAATCAGTAGTACTCGTTACAAGCCACACTAGTTATTGCTCTGAACATGAGTTGTCCCTCTCCTGCTAACACTCATGCCACATCTGTGTCATGAGCAGCCGCGACCCACATACACCAGCACCCCAGCTCACTTCTCCATCTCTCTACTCTAACCACGAAAAACACTAGCAGGTGCACACCCCACCAGCCAGCTCTCCTGTTCCGCACACGGTCCTACGAGGAAGCAGCCTCAGCAGCAGCAGCGGCGGGAGCAGCGGGGCTGCCAAAGCTCCTCTCCCTCTCCCACGCCACCTGCGCCATCATGGTCAGCGCAGACCGTGCCTCTCTCTCCTCCCCCACCTCCCGTGCAAACGCCACGCGCACATCCATCACCCGCGCGGGGAAATCCGCCGCGGCAGCAGCACCGGGCATGGCGGGGCGAGCGAGCACGCGGAGGTCAAAGCCAAGGCGGTCCACCCAGATGAGCGACGCGTCGTCCACCTGCAGGTCTGGCAGCGCAGCGAAGGCGGCGGGGAAGCGGCGCAGGTCCTGCCAGTGCTCTCGGTTGAAGTCGGCCACTATGCCTGCTGCTACCTCGCGCAGAGGGTCGGCGTCCGCGTTCAGATAGGCCTCTGGGGAGATCCACTCGCCCTCCTGTGGGATGGGGGGGTTGGGGGCAGAGCAGAATGGCATGAGTTTAAAAGGCGGGGAAGCGCAGGTCCTGCCAGTGCTCTCGATTGATATCGGCCACTATGCCCGCTGTCGCCTCCCGCAGGGGGTCGGCGTCGGCACTGAAGTAGACATCTGGGGAGATCCACTCGTCCTCCTGCGGGTGACATGTGGTGGGTTGGTGCAGGGCAGATCAGTGTGAGGTGGGTTTGGCTGATTGGGTGGGACAGGTGCTGCCATGCGTAACCCTTACCCCTCAACCACTCACACCCACAGCACCACCACCTTCCTGTCCCCCCTCACCTGGTCGGCATCGGGCGCCACGAGCACACGATCAACGTCCAGCAGGAAGAGCGATGACGTGGAGCCGTTGCAGCTACCATGGGTAACCGTTGCGCACACATAAACACTCACGCCCACACCACCACACTCCCCTCTCCCCGCCTTTTTACCTGGTCGGCGTCTGGCGCCACGAGCACACGGTCAACGTCCAGCAGGAAGAGAGCAGAGGACGCAGAGCCGTCGCTGCTGCCCGCATCCTCCTCACTGTCGGGGAAGCGCCGCCTCCACGCCGCCTCCAGCTTCTGCCGTGTGGCGGGGGCGCGGGGCACAGGGTGTGATGGGAGCACGGGGGCACAGAAGGACGCGGAGCGAGTGAGAGCAGGAGTGGAGGACATAAGGGCAGGCAGGCAGGCAGGTGGATGTGTGAGGCTGCGTGGCTGCATGTGAGGGGGTGGCTGGGGGTTGGCGTACATGTGCAGATTTGTATTTTTCTGTTGCATGCATCCTGGTGCCTGGGATTTGTTTGTGGCAGCACAGGCACATGGGCAAATGCCTGTAGCCTCGCTTTCTCTTGACCCTCCAACCAACATAAACGTCATTCACTCACCCCGAGCGTCTTGCCGTCGTGTGCCTTGGTCAGCCGTCCATGCAGCGACACCTGCGGCTTCTGCTGACCTGGCAGCTCGATCTGTCCAATCAGCGGGGCGACAACAGGGAAAAAGGAGGTTGTTTTAAGGAATGAGCACCTTGCCATCACACAAGATGCAATTGTGGCACTTGGGTGGACATAAGGTGGCCAGTCGAAATAAGGTTGCTGATGGATATGAGGTGGCAGGAGCATATGAGGTGGCAGGAGCATATGAGGTGCCTGAGAAATGGCCGCTACTGCATGTGTGAGCACGTGGATACGAGGCGGCTGGTGCACATAAGGTAGCTGGGAAGCGGTTGTCCCACTTGGGGCACATGTTACAGGGCCTGAATGGGATAGTTGCACGTGTGTGAGTGTGCACTTTCATTGAGTTCGACTCCCCCTTACCTCCACAAGTAGGCTCGCCTCTTACTCTTCCCCTTACCTGCACGTGTAGGCACGCCTGCGCGTCGTCAGCGAGGTTGGCGGCGGCGCAGCTCGAGTCAGCGAGCAGCACGATGGGGCGGCCCTCGGGGTCGGGCGCGAAGAACGCGTGGCAGGCCAGCGGCCACGTGGCGGGGAGTGGTTGGTCGTCGCCCGCGAGCGTGCTGCCCGCGCCGCCGTGCGCGAGCGTGACGAGCGTGCCCTCCGCCGACAGCTCCACCACCGTCTGCGCCAACTCCGCCGCGGACGGGCGCACCGCGGGAGGGGCGGAAACTGGAGGTTGGAAGGAAGTGCAGGATGGGGAGGAATTCAGGTTGGAGTCCCTCTAAGCGCTAACTCCGCAAACGTTTGCGCAATTCAGCGATTTGCAGCGAGGGAAAGGTTGAAAGGAGTGGGGGGTGTGAAGGGGTGGGGGGAGGGGAGGGGGGAAGGAAGGGGCGGAGGCGGGGGAAGGAAGGGCTGCTGATTTAAGGTAGGTAGGGCACCGGGAGTTTTGAAGGGTAAAAGAGTGGATAGGAGCATGGAGCAAGGAAGACGACACATGCGACCTGGTGGGCATGGTGCGGCACGCAAGGGTCGGGATGCGAGGAGGGTGCGTACGCGGGGTAGGGAGGCATGATGGGGATCGTATGCGAGAGAATAGCGGTGCAACGCTGAGAGAGCCTGCCATCTGCACTTACCAGCTTCCGCTGCTGCCGCTGCGCTGCACCTGACACCCCTCACCGCCGCTGCCGCTACGAGCTGAATCAAGGCAGCGATGGGATGGGAGAAAGGAATATTCATAAGCAAATGCCATAAAAATGATTTGGTCACAGAATAACCACCTTACAGGATTTCAAATGACACGGAGCTCTTCAGCAGCAGTGCATGCGAGCGATCACAAGATGCATAATGCGTCGACTCAAAAGCTCCACAGTAGCCGGGTGAATGGGGGCACTCTCGCGTCGCGAAATATATTAATTTGTGCACGGTGCGTCGAATCTATACCTGAATTCCCGTTGAGGCCACCTTCTGGCTGCCGATCGCCGAGTGCGCATTCAAACCGAGAGTTTGGCCGAGGAATGCGGCCTGCACGATACGGAAGGTCGGTGGACGCGAAAACACATTGCGAATCAGCGCATACGCTACATCAGATGAGATTGCAAGACGAGGACGCTAACCAGCGCACGAAAGCTTGCTCACCGGCACCTTGGGAGCCCTAACGGCTGTGGCCTGCGATCCTCTCTCCACTAAGCATAAATTTGCCGCCTGGATGGCGCACGATGAGCACGCGGCAGCCATTGTTGCTCGATGCTAGTGGCGACGGAGAATTGGTGGCTTGCCGATTACGACGCAAGAAACGTGAGACACGTCCCTAAAATCGTGTAATGATCCGTCTGAAGCGGTGCACAAAAGAAGCTGCTAGCGCGAGGGAAAACAGAAAGTGGAGAGAGTGGAGGGCGAAGCAGAGTGGGAGGAGGTTTCCTGACAGGATGAGGCAGGGTGCCACGTCAGACCTGCGCATTCCCAATTCCGCTTGAAGAAGCTTCTTCAGGGGCGATTGAGGAAATCGAGGGGTTGGTACACGTCAGCGCGCGGCTTGACATTCCCAAGGTATGGATTCCAATTCAGCGGGAGGCGCAAGGGCACCTCATCGCGCTGTTGGCCGTGGTCCACTTGTAAGCCGACATTTGGAAACTGGAATCCCTCGTAGTGTTGAATAATGAAGCAAAGATTTCACGCGAAAAAATACAGGTAGTGTTGAATAATGATGTACAGATTTCACGTGAAAAAATACAATATCAATTTTTGCCTGAAGAGATAGTTGTCGACAACCCTTCTTCAATACTTCCTATTCAACTCAAAGCTACCTAACTAGCAAATGACTTCCTACATACCTACTCCTACAGAAGAAATAATATGTTGTGTCTTGCAGCATCTAACCAGATGCAGGAGGCAAGGTGCCAGCCATGCATGAGGAAAGAGCAGCGGCGCGATCACTAGGAAGCGCCGCCAGGAGCGGCTGCATTTGATCTGCAAATGCCTGCGCGAGATGCGAGCAGGCTTGGCCCACGGAGAGACGCACTTCCGGTGCAATCTTACCGTTAACCGCCACCTCTGCGAATACAGGCACCAGCTGCGGCACCACTGGCAAGATCTGCACAAAAAAGGGACAGTGCGTAAAGCACAAGCACATGAGAATGGCAGCAGAATTGATAACCATGAAGTATGTGATGCACGATTGATGTGATGTCACGTTGAATGATCACCCACATTGTGGTGGAGGTTGGTGCATGTACCTGGGGATGTGAGGCGGCAACGAGAGCCACGAGGCAGCCGTACACTGGCTTGGCCTCCTCCAGGTCTGACTTGAGAGGCAGCGCCGCCACCAGCACTGGCAGCACCTGGTGGGCAGGAGAACAGCGAGGTGGAGAGGAAGAACGATTAGGGAGGGACGGACGTTGGTGCGACATGGGTTTACGGCATGGCAGTGAACAGAACTCTCCACTTGCAATTGAACAAACACCAGACCTGGTCAAGCGGCATGGCAGTGCTCTGACCTGGTCGAGAGGCATGGAAGCGCCACCAGAAGCGATCATGCGGGCAACAGCGCCGGCAGCGTTGTCCCTCACGTCGTCATCCTCGTCCGCTGAGAAGAGCGGGTGCAATCCCAACAGGATATCAGAGTAGTGCCTGGGGGTGGGGAAGGAGGAGGTGTTGGGGGGGTTGGGGAATGACAGTGAGGTGAGTGGCAGCAGCAGGTCGACGGGAGTGCCTGCCAGGAGCCGTGCTGTGGGATTGGGGGGGAGGGGGAGGGGAAGGATGCATGGCGACAGTGGGCATGGCAGTGAGAGGAAACGGCAGTGAGGTGAAGAAGGGGAGCAGCAGAAGGCATGCAGCGGCAACAGTTTCGCCCCTCCGTGCCTCCCCACCTGTGCATGGCAGCGCGCACCTGTGCATGGCAGCGCCCACCTGTGCATGGCAGCGCCCGAAACTTCAGCCAGCTTGCCGACGGCAAAGGCAGCGTTGCGGCGGTTGGGGGGGTCTCCGCCCCTCAGCTCTGATGCCAGCACGGGCAGTAGGGTCTGTGGCGAGGGAAAGTGGGAGGGAGGCTTGTGAGAGTGGTGGAGGATGGTTTATGAGGATGTAGTTCGGTTGAGAGCGCATTGAAGAAGCAGAATGAAGGGAATGGAAGGCATGTTGGATAAGGGATGGCACAACATGACTGCAGGAGTGCAACACACCCCTTGCCATACCACCCTCCATGCCACACTACACCCCAACGCATACCTATACCCCATCCCCAGGCACTCACATCCACGTATTGCGCCATGGCTTCCCCCAGCTCCCCTGCCACGTCAGCAATGCACCCCACCGCCATGCTGCGATCGTTGGGCGGGCGGGAGGCTTTCTGCTCCAATCAATGGTGGGTGGAGGGGGAGAGGGGAAGATGGAGAGGCAGGGGGAGAAGAGGGGAAGAGTACACGAGAGGTGGGGAAAGTGTGAGAGACGAAGCAAGGCTGAGTGACAAAGAGACTGAAGAGTGCGAGAGGTGACAGGGGGAATGCGGAAGGAGAGAGCAAGGCAGGGGAGTGCAGAGCATGTGTGTGAAGATGGCAGGGTGAAGGAAGTGCGAAGGGGAGGGCGAAGGCAGACCATAGCCGGCCCATGCGTGCCACAGCGAGCAAGAGCATGAGCCCACGAGGGAGAAAAACTGCAAGAGAGCAAGTGAAGGAGGGAGAGAGGGCGCAAGGGAGGTAGAGGAGGGCACCGTGAAGGCGAGGATGTCGGGCAGCAGGGAGTGGAAGACAGGGGCGAAGGCAGCGGCGCCCACGGCACGCGCCACAGCGGGCAGCAGGTCAACAGCGGCGTCCATGAGCTCCTCGTCGTGCTCCTCCTCCTCTTCCTCCTCCTCCGCCGCCTCTGTCGGCCCCGCCGCCCCCTCACCGCCCGTCTCGGCGTCGCTCGCTGCTCGCTGGCACGGCAGGTCGTCCCTCAGCGCCGCTCGCACCGCCGCCACCAGAGGCTCCGCGTCTGACCAGCAGGGGGTGGGGGAAAGGGGGAAGACGGCAGGGTGATAAGGCTCCGCGTCTGACCAGCAGGGGGTGGGGGAAAGGGGGAAGACGGCAGGGTGATAAGGCTCCGCGTCTGACCAGCAGGGGGTGGGGGAAAGGGGGAAGACGGCAGGGTGATAAGGCTCCGCGTCTGACCAGCAGGGGGTGGGGGAAAGGGGGAAGACGGCAGGGTGATAAGGCTCCGCGTCTGACCAGCAGGGGGTGGGGGAAAGGGGGAAGACGGCAGGGTGATAAGGCTCCGCGTCTGACCAGCAGGGGGTGGGGGAAAGGGGGAAGACGGCAGGGTGATAAGGCTCCGCGTCTGACCAGCAGGGGGTGGGGGAACGGTTTGGGCTCTTTGAAAAGCCCATCAAAGTCTATCCCGTATGGCAGCTCGTCCCGCAGCGCTGCCACCAGGGGCTCGAAGTCTGACAGGGGGATTGGGAGAGAGGGGGGTGTTGGGAGAGAGGGGGGTGTTGGGAGAGAGGGGGGTGTTGGGAGAGAGGGGGGTGTTGGGAGAGAGGGGGGTGTTGGGAGAGAGGGGGGTGTTGGGAGAGAGGGGGGTGTTGGGAGAGAGGGGGGTGTTGGGAGAGAGGGGGGTGTTGGGAGAGAGGGGGGTGTTGGGAGAGAGGGGGGTGTTGGGAGAGAGGGGGGTGTTGGGAGAGAGGGGGGTGTTGGGAGAGAGGGGGGTGTTGGGAGAGAGGGGGGTGTTGGGAGAGAGGGGGGTGTTGGGAGAGAGGGGGGTGTTGAGACGAAGGGTGGTTGAGACAAAGGGGTCAGGGGACGACGGGTGGAAGGAGGAGGGTGGAGAGAAGGCGAGGGGATTCAGGGGCAGGGGGTGGCTGTGGAGGAGATTGCAAAGCAGGGTGGCAACACAGAGCACAGGCGGATGGCCATTTCCCTCTCAGTGACTCACAGGGCGCCATGGCGGGCTGGTTGGCGGAGTCAGCAGCCAGCAGCGCCTTGATGGTCTCCGTGGCGCCGCTGAAGGCCTGCCCAACCACTGCGCGCTCCTCGTCATCCCTCATCGCCCCCATCCACACCTCCATCGCCACGTCTGATGTGCGCGCACACACAGGGAACAGAGGGGCTCGTGAGGGGAGGTGCGGCCAGGGCAGCAATGAGATGAGAGGTTACAGTGAGAGGTTACAGTGAGAGGTTACAGTGAGAGGTTACAGTGAGAGGTTACAGTGAGAGGTTACAGTGAGAGGGAATACCGTGACGGGTGTGCGTGGAAGGATGATGGCAATGGGTGTGGTTCAGCAGAGCGAATGGGCGCGCAGATGGAGTGAGCAACGTGGGCGCGCAGAGTCAGGCGGGGCGATGCCAAGACAGGAGAGCAAGGGCAGAGCGGCAAGGGGTGGTGGTTGGTCGGCGGGGGCTCACCAAAGACATGGTTCGTTTCCGCACTCATGGGCTGCTGCCGCCCAGCAGGTGCCGTGCCGTGGTGGCAGCACAGCACAGCAGAGCAGCGCCGCGTGCACAGGGAGTGTGCGGCATGCACGGTAATGTGATGGCGACGGGGTGTCATGCAGCACACGGGGGGAGGGGTTGGTCGCGCATGCACAGGAGGGGGGACGTGGGTGAGTGCAATTGAGCAATGGAGGGAACTGAAGGCAGATGCAGGCAAGGCAAATGGAGAACCACATAAGAGGTGGAGGGATTGTTGTGCAGAGAGAGGATGGCACAGCAGTATGAGAGAGAGCATTGCCCCGCAGCATTCAGTGCACCGGTCAGTCACCCCTGTGGGAGGGCATGAAGCGTACCTGGCCTGGGGCGGATGGGAAGGCGTGCAGCGCCGCCGTGACCAGGTCTGTTGGAGGCGGAGAGGGTGGGGGGGAGACGGGGGAGACATTGCTGTGAGGGTTGTTGTGAGGGCGGAGAGATTTAGGTGGACGACAGAAGAGAGACAGATAGTGCGAAAGGTGGGTGACATGCTGCATGGTGGGCATGCTTGGCTGGATGCAGGTGCTGGGCAGTGGATGCATAGCGGAGGGCAGAGGGCGGAAGGAGGAGGGCGGAGAGAGGAGGGAGGGCAGGGAGCAGAAAGGGGGGGGGGGGGAGGAGGTGGAGGGGGGAACTGACGTTGCAGGGAGAGCGTGGCCTGCAGGCGCACGTCCTCATGTGCATAGTCCGCCCCGTCCTTTAGCACCCCCACCGCCTCCTGTACGTACCTGCATGAGGGAAGGGCGAGAGGGGAGAGGGGAAGGGCGGGGTATGCGGATGAAGCATGACAGGTCAGTGGTGCTTGATTCACAATTTCACACCAACCACGCACTTATCTCAGCTTCCAGCAGAGGTCTATGGCATGCACGCACTGCAATCATGCAGCCCAGCAGCAGCACCACACCCCACCAGCACACTCACGGGCCGAAAGCAGCCTTGGTGTACTGAGCATACGCGCCGATGGCCTGAGCAGCAGCCGCCTTCTCATCCAGCACGGCCGTGCGCACACTGATGCCCCTCAGCCCCCTCAAAGCCGCCCCCTCGTCCTCATCCTCCGAATCCGACGAGATCTCCCCTGCTGCCAGTGCTGCCGCTAGCTGCCGCCGCCCACCGCCCTCGGCGTCGGCGGCATCGTCGTCGGTGGCGGCCGGGCCGACCACGATGCCATCGTCGAGGCGGCAGGAGGAGAAGGCGAGCGGCACCACGTGTTGCAGGTACTGGCAGGGGTGGGGAGGGAGGAAAGGAGTTACAGTGTTAGTGGCACGAAGTTTGATTCCAAGTCGGTGGCTGCTGGGCCGACCACAATGCCATCGTCGAGGCGGCAGGAGAAAAAGGCGAGCGGTACCACGTGCTGCAGGTACTGGTAGCGGGGAGAGAAAGAGAGGGGGGAGAGGGGGAAGAGCAGGGTGGTGGAGTGTTAGTGGCACGGAGATTGATTTGAAGTCAGCGAGCATGGGAGAAATGTATGGAGAGGGCAGTGGTGAAAGGAGAGCATGCAGGCGCACGGATGCAAGCGGCAAATCACGGGGGCTGGGTGGGCTGAGGGGGGGTGCACAAGACAATACTCACGGGGGCGAAGTCAGCTTCGAGGAACTTGGCCACGTCGCTGAAGAAGGAGTGGGCATACTCCCTCAGCGCACTCTGGTCCAGGGCGAAGCCCTGCCATGGGGGTGAGTGTATGTGGGGGGTGCGGCATGGAATGGCAAATAGCGCGTGGTGGGTGAGCAAGGGAACTTGGCGACGTCGCTGAAGGAGTGCGCATACTCCCGCAACGCACTCTGGTCCAGGGCGAAGCCCTGCCATGGGGAAGGTTGAGCATGGGGTGTGGGGTGTGGGACGTGGGAGGTGGCGTGTGGTTGGTGAGCAAGGGAGTGAGGCGCTCTGAATCCCTCGTTCACATACCTTACTGACGTGAGCAACACAATAAACAATCCCTGCGACCCCCCGAGCCACCCAGCACAGCACCTTGAAGTGCAGCACTCAGGCCATGAAGCACAGCAGCACTCTTTCTATGGCCTGGCACCCGCAGCAATCCCAGTGATGCCCACCAGCTCGTACCCGCACTGCTTGTGGCTTACTGCCATTCACAGCACTGCCCCTCAACTGCTCCCCCACCCACCTTAAGAGCGGCGTCCATGAAGCCGGGCAGCACGGGCTCCACCGCTTGCCGCCCCACGGCGATCCCAATGATGCCCACCAGCTCGTACGCGCGTGACCGCACGTCCACGTCCGCCTCCGCTGTGAGGGACACGAGCGGGATGAGCGCCGCCAGCACCGCGTCACTGTATGGCGCGAACTTGGGACCTGCTGCTGCTGCCGCTGATCCTATGGCGGACTGGCAGGGGGGGAGAAAGGGGGAAGACGGCAGGGTGATGAGGCGGTTGGGACATGAGAGGGTGGAGGAGATAGGGAGAATGCGTGATGTTTGAAGAGATGGCATGTGCAGTGAAGGAGTGTGTTGGATTTATGCATCTATGAATCTGTACCACATTCCATGACATGACCTCCCATTCTGTTACATCACGATGCACATCATCCAACTCACGTTTCACATCATACAACTCACGATGCACATCATACAACTCACGATGCACATCATACAACTCACGGTTCACATCATACAACTCACGATGCACATCATACAACTCACGATGCACATCATACAACTCACGATGCACATCATACAACTCACGATGCACATCATACAACTCACGATGCACATCATACAACTCACGATGCACATCATACAACTCACGATGCACATCATACAACTCACGATGCACATCATACAACTCACGATGCACATCATACAACTCACGATGCACATCATACAACTCACGATGCACATCATACAACTCACGATTCATATACAATTCTCCCATCTCACCCCCACCTCCTCATCTCCTCCCATCCAACTCACGATGCACATCATCCAACTCACGATGCACATCATCCAACTCACGATGCACATCATCCAACTCACGATGCACATCATACAACTCACGATGCACATCATCCAACTCACGATGCACATCATCCAACTCACGATGCACATCATACAACTCACGATGCACATCATACAACTCACGATTCATATACAATTCTCCCATCTCACCCCCACCTCCTCATCTCCTCCCATCCAACTCACGATGCACATCATCCAACTCACGATGCACATCATCCAACTCACGATGCACATCATCCAACTCACGATGCACATTGTACAACTCACGATGCACATCATACAACTCACGATGCACATCATACAACTCACGATTCATATACAATTCTCCCATCTCACCCCCACCTCCTCATCTCCTCCCATCCAACTCACGATGCACATCATCCAACTCACGATGCACATCATCCAACTCACGATGCACATCATCCAACTCACGATGCACATCATCCAACTCACGATGCACATCATCCAACCCACGATGCACATCATCCAACTCACGATGCACATCATCCAACTCACGATGCACATCATCCAACTCACGATGCACATCATCCAACTCACGATGCACATCATCCAACTCACGATGCACATCTCCTGCAGGTTGCGGTCGGGCGAGCGCAGGGCGTCCATGAGTTGGCGCATGAGCGGGTCCAGGAACTCCAGGATCTCGTCCCCCATGTGCTCGCAGAACGCTGCTAACGCGTAGTACGCCTTCTCCTGAGGAGGGGGGAGGGGTGGAAGGGAGGGAGCGAGGGAGGGATGTGGCAACTTGCAGGGATCTGAGTGGGATAGGCGGAGAGAGACGGAGGGAGGGAAGAATTTAGGGAGGCAGGGACGGAAAGAGAGAGGGAGGGCCGAGAGCACTGAAGCTCGGGTGGTAAGGCCGACACTAAACTGCATACAGTGCCTCACATCCACACCAAGCATGCAGCCCAGCTCCCAAGAACAGAGTCGCTCTTGAGGTCTCTCAAAATCAGTACCCCTTTCTTTGCCACTGACCCTGACAACGGGCGAGGCGTCATTGAGGGCGGCGAAGACAGCGGGCAGGATGATCTTGTAGTGCTCCGACGCCTCGGGCTGCACAAACTCCGACAGCTGCCCCACCGCGAAGCACGCCGCCCCCCGCACCTTGGGATGCGCGTCTCCCAGCCCCGCCACCACCAATGGCAGCACGTCTGACTCCAGCCGCCCGCGCACTGCCTCACTGGGGGGAAGGAAGGGTGTGTGGAGGGGGGGGAGAATGGGGGAAGAGGGAAGTGGAGATTTGGGAGGGGTAAGGGGGCGCACAAGGACAAGCCAACACCCCTGCAGTGCACCCCTGCACTCACCAGCACCCCTCTGCACTCACCAGCGCCCCCCTGCACTCACCAGCACCTTTTGCACCCCTCTGCACTCACCAGCACCCTTTTGCACCCCTCTGCACTCACCAACACCCCTCTGCACTCACCAGCACCCATTTGCACCCCTCTGCATTCACCAACACCCCTCTGCTGCGCCCCTCTGCACTCACCAACACCCCTCTGCACCCCTCTGCACTCACCAGCACCCCTCGGTGATGACAGCCAGGGCCATGACAGCGGCGTAGCGCATGTGGGGGTTGGTGTCCGTGATGTGTGCGCGGGCGAACGCCAGCACAGGCGGGAACACATGCTTGCGCGGCGCCTCCATGGCCACCGCGTCTATGGCCTGTGGGGGCAGTAAACACAGGGCGGAGAGGGGACGGGAAGAGATTGAAGGGGGATGAGAAAGGGTGGGTGGCGGGTTGTGGAGTGGGAGTGGGAAGAAGTGCTGGTGTGCGAGGGGCCTTCACTGCCATCGCGTCTATGGCCTCTCAAGGTGAAGACGCACGGTGATGGGGGGTTTCGGGTGGCGTCGGGGAAAGGCAGTGAGAGCGGGATGAGGGGCGGTGAGAGGGGGGTTGGGGGGAAGTTGGGTTGCGGGTGTGGGAATGGAAAAGATTTCCATGTGTGGGGACTTAGGCAAGGAGGCGTGGAAAGGAGGTCACCTGGGCGGCAAAGCGCATGGGCGAGAGGTCGTACTCCTCGTCCTGCTCCGAGTCCGTCTCGCCACAGGGCTCGGCGAGCAGCGGCGCCATGGCGGCCAGGATGACGGGCACCAGCTTCTGCTTCGCCAACCACTTGGCCTTCCACGCCGCACACCACGCCACCACCTGCGCTGCCTGCTCCACCCAAACCAACACAGCACGGGGAGTTGGACAATGCGTCAGTTTGCATTCACCATGATTGAATGTGGAATGCGTGTCCTGTATGTTGGTGTGTGTTGGTGTCGTACCTCGTTCACATTCCCTTCTACCACCATCTGCCACATCTGCCGTTGCGCAGCAGTGGCGCCTCACCTGGAAGCGCGTGGCGGGTTCGAGGTGCGTGTTGCTGGCGAGTTCGAGCGCGAACTGGATGACGGCGGGCAGCGACGGCGCGATGACGGGCGCGGGGTGCTCCGCCAGCTCCGTCACCACCTCGCACACGCGCACCACCGTCGCCTCGTCGCCGCTCCCCGCCGAGAACCGCCCCACGTCCAGCATCGGCGCCACCAGATCGCGCATCAGAGTCTAGGCGGGGGGGAGGGCGGGGCGAAGGGGGTGAGGGGGGCGAGGTGAGGAAGGGGAGGGGGGATTGGGGATCGGCGAATGCAAGGAGAAGGGCAGGAGCGGCCGAGTGCATGGGATGGCGGAGGGAGAGAGGCAGGATCAGCGCAATGCCATGCGCTACGTGCGCGCATTGTGCGCGTGCGCGGAACTCACCACGTCCTGCTCGCTGTCAAGGTACTCCACCAACGCCGCCACGGCCCTGCGCACGCACGCACACCCACGCACCCACCCACCACAGGAAAGTTGCATATGTGTGAATTTGAGGCGAAGGGGCGGAGAGCAGTTGAGGAGTAGCGACAAGCGAGAGCGTGTTATGCGACGACCAGGCGGTGCGAGCAGCGGGGATGGAGCGCGGGGAGCAGCGGCGCAGGCGGTGCGGGCGGGTCAGCAGCGCGAGGGGTGCGAGCGGGGCACTCACTTGAGCGCGGCGACGCGCACTCGCGCGCTGGCCTGGTCGCGCAGGCCCGCGACGAAGATGCCGTGCAGCGCGGGGAAGTGCGGTCGCAGCACGTCGCCGATCGTCTCCACCAGCGCCGCGAACAGAATGAACGCCAGCTGCGGAAGGGGGGAGGGCGAGGGGGGAGCGGAGAGGGGGAGAGCGGGAGAGGGAGGCGCGGAGAACGAGTTCCGGGGAGGGGGAATTTGCAGGTGAAGTGCACAGTGGCGGAGCGGACGAGGGTGGATTGGATGCGGCGGAAGCGCAGTGATTGGCGCGGCGCATTGTGCGGGGGTGCCTCACCTCGCGGTGGTCCTCCTGCTGCCCCTGCGAGCACTGCAGCAGGAACGGCAGCAGCTCCGGCCACTCGCCGTTAGGCACGCTGTGCTTCGCAATCACGCTCGCCACGTCAGCACTGGCGCGGCGCACGACAGGGCTGCATGACGGCGGGGCACGACAAGGGAGCGGGGGATCCGCGGTCAGGAGGCAAAGCGAGGAATGCGGGAGACGCTATTATCTGACGAACGGTCTGACATGACAGTGATCTGCCAGATGAGGGGTGCGATCAAGCCCCACACTTTCACAGCTCTGCACCGCCGAAACTCGATCCCTAGAGCGCAAGCTTTGGATAGATCGATACCATGAGCCGCACCCCTTGCCCTACTCGTGAGTTCGCTACTCGTACCACCACATGCGCCTAAGCGGTGACAATGCCGGAGGCCGACGGAACGGGCTTCGAGCCCGGACGGTGACGGAAGGAGATCCCCACCTGGGCTCGAGCGCGATGCTCTCGAGGAGTGCGGATTTGATGCTGGCCTTGGCCTCGGCGGGTTGCTGCGCCCACAGCCCCGCGACCTTCTTGCGCATGAGCACGGCGGCGAGCTGGCGCACGTCGGGCGAGGGGCCCGCCTTGAGGAAGTGCAGCAGCGCGAGCAGCACGGCGGGGTCCTTAGAGAGCTGCTTGAACGCCGCCTCCGCCGCCTTGCGCGACTCGTTGTCCGGCAGCAGCAGCTGCTGCAGCACCGCCGCCAGCTGATCCATCGCGGCGAGAATTGGGAACGGGAACAGAGGAGAAAGGAGTGAATTCGTGCGCGGGGGTAGGCGGTGGTGTCGGCTCGCGCGCGATCTTAGAGGCCAACGCGAGGCTCTGTTGTGGCGCTCGACGCAGCGGGGAAAGAAAAGAGGTCCAACTGATGCAAGCAAGGTGAATTTGATGATCTTTGCTCCACAACTCCAAGGGCCTTCTCTTGGGAACTCCGGAGCGCGGAAGAATTCGTGGTTGAGAGATCGTGCTGCAATATTGGGGTATGTTTCGCAACCAGTTTCGTCACACTTGGCGAAAATACGCGACTCCGGCACCCTTATTCCGTTACCATGGATCCATCCATGGCATGCGATGCCATGCCATGGCATCCACCCTTACTCTGTGATGTCACAGGCATGACAAGGTAGGCTTGGGACACAGATTGCAAGTGTGCTTCACGAATACCGAAGATCCATCTTTTCGGGCTTCGTCTCGAACAATAGCGTCGCTCCCAGGTTCTCCCAATACCATGAACAAATAATTACTACATATATTAATGTTTACAGCATACGGAATGTTGGCTCCCACCCATCACAATTCAGAGAGCCAAGCAGTACTTACAGGAATGCCTAGCGAAGGGCAAGTCAGTGGTGAAACTTGTGAGCGTTGATGCATTTTCAATGGCCATGCGAAGGCCAACCAATACGCCAACAAACAACATCATTATTTGTGGATAAACTTCACTTTGAGGAGAAACTCCAATTGAATCTGCAACATTTTCAACAGAAGAAGCAAATGAAAATGTGTTTAAAACCCCATCGACTGCATAAAGTGCCGGACATACAACGTAAAAAACATGTGAAGACCACATATTCAGTACCTGTGATGTATCGTAGACGATGAACTCATTGTAGCGCAGGTGGCTGTTCTTCACCCCCGAAGGCACGGGCTTGCCACAGGGCACGACGACATCGGAGGCCCACTTGACAAACTCGGCCTCCTTGGGCTTCATCATCCCCAGCCCCTTGGTTGCGTGCTTTCCCCGTGGCAGCTTCTCCACATACTGCACGGGAGGCAGGGCAGGCAGCATCAGCAGGAGAGTCGAGAGAAATACCAGGGTGCCAGTAGGAAAGGGATCTGGAAATGTGGCTAGCAAGGCGACTGTGAGTGCGGTGGCAAAGGAAGCTTGAGGGAAAAGTGGAGAAGCTGAGTGGAGTTTGTTAGAAGTTGCTTGCACCACCGGTTCAAAGGGCAATGAGTCGAGAGCGACGCTGAGCTGGGCAGCAGTAAGTGGGTGAATAAGAGGGACTGACCTCGGCGGACGTGAGCTCATAGAGAGCACCAAGCGCCACACGGGAGAGCAGCAGCAGGCCGATGTTGCTGTCGGGGCTGGTGAAGCAGTACTGCGCGCTCTTGCTCACCAGGTCCGCGAAATACACTCCCTTGCCAAACTGCCACGCAGAGAGAGGGGGGCGTGGAGGAGGGGAGGAAGTAGCATGTGCATTGGAACGACAAGGGATGGTGGCACAGGGGCATGCAGAAGGAATACACAGTGCAAGAATGGTGGCAGCAGAGCGGCACATTAAAATGCAGCAGGGATGCATTATGCATACCATGTAGCCGGTAATAGGTGCCTCTGGTGGTGCGATGCGCAGGCCCTGACTCAAGATGCCCACATAGTTGGTCACTCGTGATCCTGAATGGGGGAAGGTTGGGAGAGAGCGCCGAGGAAATCAGATAACGACATTACAGAGACCAAACCTCGAAGCATAGTATGTGCACTGTGAATGTAACCATATGAGCATGCTGCATACCGTGCCACAGCAGCATGTGAGCATACTGTGCCACAGCAGCATGTGAGCATACCGTGCCACAGCAGCATGTGAGCATACCGTGCCACAGCAGCATGTGAGCATACCGTGCCACAGCAGCATGTGAGCATACCGTGCCACAGCAGCATGTGAGCATACCGTGCCACAGCAGCATGTGAGCATACCGTGCCACAGCAGCAAGTGAGCATACCGTGCCACAGCAGCATGTGGTTCTTGATGTCGGCACGGAAGGCCTTCTTCTCCCCACTGCGATCCACGCGGAACACGTCCAGCAACTCCAGCTCCCACTCCTGCCCGCATGGGGTTCATGGGACATTATATGTGTTGACTCTGAGAATTTTCAGAATTAACCTTAAAAAGAATGTATGGGGGTGCATGGCGAAGCATGGGGAGCATGGAGGGAATGAAGGGTGAACAAGGAGAGAATTTTATGGACGCAAGAAGGCACGAAGTAGGCATGCCAGGCTGTGGTTGTGAATGTGTGCGAGCGAGGCTGGGAGACACCTTGTGAGTGGGAGCATGTGTTTTGTGCAGGTAGTCCTTGACAAGCGAGTAATCAGCATCGCTGGGCTCCAGGGGCGACAGGCCGCACTGCAGCTGGCGGTAGTGGCGGTCCACCGGGTCCTCCTTCTCCCCCCCCTCGCCCTCGCCCGCCCCCTTGCTCGCACTCAGCAGCGTGGACGTCACCTCCATGTCCCTCAGCGCCTCCAGCATGCGGATCTGCACCCCATTCATTGCTCCCAGGGCATGGCACACATGGCAGGGCACACACAAGGCGCAGCATACACAGCACAGCAGGACACAGGCATACTCAGTATGAGCAGCGTGCTTTACCGAGGCACGACACAGTGCAATCACAGCAGCAGCAGGTACGGATCCCACACACGCACGCACCTTGGTGGTGAGAGCCTCGAGTGTGCGAATAGCGGTGGGGTTGACGGTGGGGATGAGAGTGAAGAAGCGGTTCGACGCGTCCACGATGGCGCTCTCCCGCCGCCCCGTGCTGTCGGGCGGCAGCTGCAGGGCGGCCTGCACGTCCGTGAGCACCTGAAAGCCGCGCTCTATGTGGCGCTTGGTGAGCTTTCCCAGCGGCATCTCCCTCACGTTGATCTCAAACTCCACCATCGCCTCCCTGCCAGCCATGATGGGACGTGGTATGGAGGGGCAAGGGGTGGTGGGGGATTTTACGGAAATGTAGAGAATAGAGGGGATGAGTGGCAGGGGCATAGGCAGAGGCAAGGGGTACAGGGTGAGCGAGATGAGGGAACGTGGCAGTTGAACAAGAACCTCACGAGAATCATCCCGAGAAAGCACCTGATGGATTTGAGGTCGAAGATCATCATGAGCAGCGCCACCAGCCGGCCATCCAGCTTGCTCCTTGTGCCCATCACGGCCCCGCCCTGCTCCTCCTCCTCGTCCCCTCCATAGTCCTGCGAGCCAAGGGAAGAGGAGATGAGAACAAGCGCACTGTAGCCGAACGCTTATGTGCTGCCGTTCCTTTGCTAACCCCACACCTCTGAACCCTAAACCGGTGATTTGCCCACATATGAAGAGGCCGGCGTTGCGACAGGATGGCAGCTGCTCGCCCTGCTGCTGCAGCTAGAACTACCGCTTTGGCAGTGGCTGGACAGGTGTCATAAGCCACTCACAATCTCAAGAGGGTAGAACTTCCCCGGTTGCTTCTCAAAGCCTTCTTTCTTCTGCCAAGCCTCCCAGTCGTTGCCTGTCTTCTCCTTGAACAGCCGCTTGAACAACCCCATTGCCTGCTCGCGACTCTCCTGCTCCAGCTTGCTGCCCCCGATGGCCTCGTTGCCCACACGCCCCCACTTGCGGAACACGTGGCACCTGGATGACTTGTCGTCCTCTATCACCTGCAGGATGTAGTAGCTGCACGAGGGGGCAGGAGAGGGCACGGGAGAGAAGCAGAGTGTGCAATGCGTGACAGAAGAGAAGCATTGGTGTGTGATCTGCACGAGGGGGAAGCGGAGACGTTGCGAGAGAGGTAGCCGTGAGGGGGAGGGGGGGAGGAAGAGGAGGGGTTAGTGGATGCTGGATGCAGTAGGTGCAGTGGGAACAGCATGCACTGGTGGGGGGGAGGGAAGGAGGAGGCACACCTGTTGGCGCCGGTGGAGAGGTCAGCGAGGGAGAGAGTGGTGCTCCACACGCACCCCTGGCACTCCAGCACGTGGCCCCTCTCCGCCAGCCCCGACGCCTCATGCACCGCCGCGCGCCCCTTCACTCGCACCGTCGCCCGCACCTGCTCCTCCCCCTCGCCCGCCCTGCCCTTGCCCTTCCCCCCAGCCCTGCTCTGCTTCCCGGCAGGGCGATTGGCGTCCACGTCCTGCACCAGCTGCAGCGAGAGGGGCAGCAGGTACGCGCGCATGGGCAGGCGGCGCTTCTGCGCGAGCGATTCGAGCAGATAGTCCTCCGAGACCACCGACGCTCCCAGGACGCTGGGGTGCGGGAGGGGCGGCGATGGAGGGCACGTGGGATAACCGATCAAGTGGGATTGATGCGAAGGAGGGTGGCGGGAGAGGAGAGAGGGGAATGGTGAATGGGGTTGAGTTTAAGGCAAGGCAAGGGACGGATGGTAGGGAAGGGATGGGGTGGTAGCAGGGACGGAAAGACAGAAGAGGTGAAGAGGTGGAACCAGGTACAGCAACTTTGTGTTGAGAACCAGGTACAGCAACTTTGTGTTGAGAACCAGGTACAGCAACTTTGTGTTGAGAACCAGGTACAGCAACTTTGTGTTGAGAACCAGGTACAGCAACTTTGTGTTGAGAACCAGGTACAGCAACTTTGTGTTGAGAACCAGGTACAGCAACTTTGTGTTGAGAACCAGGTACAGCAACTTTGTGTTGAGAACCAGGTACAGCAACTTTGTGTTGAGAACCAGGTACAGCAACTTTGTGTTGAGAACCAGGTACAGCAACTTTGTGTTGAGAACCAGGTACAGCAACTTTGTGTTGAGAACCAGGTACAGCAACTTTGTGTTGAGAACCAGGTACAGCAACTTTGTGTTGAGAACCAGGTACAGCAACTTTGTGTTGAGAACCAGGTACAGCAACTTTGTGTTGAGAACCAGGTACAGCAACTTTATGTTGAGAACCAGGTACAGCAACTTTGTGTTGAGAACCAGGTACAGCAACTTTGTGTTGAGAACCAGGTACAGCAACTTTGTGTTGAGAACCAGGTACAGCAACTTTGTGTTGAGAACCAGGTACAGCAACTTTGTGTTGAGAACCAGGTACAGCAACTTTGTGTTGAGAACCAGGTACAGCAACTTTGTGTTGAGAACCAGGTACAGCAACTTTGTGTTGAGAACCAGGTACAGCAACTTTGTGTTGAGAATCTGAAAGGTCGTTGGCAGGGGCAGTGGGAGCAGTGGAGAAAGTGGGGTTGAGGAGGGGGAGAGGTGGTGGACATACAGGGGCGGCAGGAGCTTGTCCTCATTCTTCTCCACGTCTGCCTCAGTAGACACAATGCAGTCCACGTCTGGTGCATGCCGGGCGCAGGGGGCAAGTGGCGCAGGGGAGCAGCAGGAGAGAAACAAACGGGAATGAGGGGAAGGCAAGGAAAGCACGGCGGATGGTGGAGCGATGATGGAATGGAAGCACTGTCACGGCAGGAAACCCCGACAGAAAGAGCAATGTGAATCAAATCAGCGCGATGCTTCTGTGGGCAGCAAACCTCACGAAACAACTCCACACGCAAGAACAGCTTGCCAGCACACTCACTCACCCGCGCTCGTCAACGGCACCACAGCACCACCACCCTCCTCGATCTCCTTGCGCCACGCCGCCTGGGTGCGGGACAGGCGCCCCAGCAGCGCCACATGCACCCCCTCCAGCGGCTTCTCACGCTCCACTCCCCCATCCGGTATCGCTGCCTCCCGCGCCTCCCTCGCTGCTCTACCGCCCTTCCCCCGGCTCGCTTCCTTCCCCCCCGCCCCTGCCGTGCTCGCCTGCTTCACCTCACTGCGCTTCTCCTCTGGGGGCAGCACCCGCTGTGGCCACACACTCGCCCCCTCCTCCCCCCCCTCGCTCCCCTCCGCCTTCCCCTTGCCTTTCCCCTTGCCCCGCCCCTTGCCCTTGCTCTTGTCGGCTGCCTGGAACCGTCGCTGCTGCTCCGCCCGGTACTCCTGGCAGCAGTGGAATGCGTAGGGAAGAAAGCAGTGAGCGCAGGAGCGAAGAAAACAAGCCAGAATTTCAAACGCATAAGGTCCATCAACCACTGCTGACCCACCCGTCTACTCACATCAACAAACGGGTTGGTAATCTCATCAGGAACCACCCAGGCAGCTTCCTTGCGCTGCACGTCGCGAGTGGAGAAGGTGCAAGCAGACCAAGCGGAGAGGAACCCGCGGCAGCGGTACCGCCCGTCCCAGTACTCCATGGGGGACGCGCACAGCTGGCAGGGCGGCAGGGGGCCAAACAGCATGCCGTCCGCACACCGCTCCCTCAGGGCATCCTCGCTGCCACCTGGCTCCTGCTGATTGGCCTCCAGCATGGCGCGCATGTCTACTACAGTCAGGTGGGCGCGCAGCTGGTCCTTCACCTCCCACACCCGCCGAGCCTGCTGCTCCAACGCCCGCTCTAGCTCCAAGCTCATCTTCCCCTCCTCGCCCTTCCCTGCGTCCTGTGGCTTCACGTCCTCCTTCCCCTTGCCCTTGCGCTTGCTGCCTTCCTCGCCTCCTCCGTCCTGCTCCGCCCCTCGCTGCCGCTTCTTGGGGGGCTCTGAAGGGTCATGGTGGGATGGTGGAGGAGGAGAGGGTGTCGATCAGATAGGAGCATATAGACACAGAAACGGCACAAGCAGGTACAACTAGGCAACAAATGCCCATCCAATGCCTCCCACCCACACACCGTACACTCACCTCCCCCCGTGCCCTTCCCCTCAGCACCCCCTCCCAGCAGCTGCAGCAGGCGCTGCTGATCCTCCTTTTGAAGCTCGCCCCACCCCTGCACGGCCTGCACGCGCGCCCCTTGGGGCCAGATGCCCTCGTCCCCCACACACGCCGCGTGGCGCCATGCCGGCACCTCCATGCCGCGACTCGACGCCTCCATGCGCGCCACTCGCAGCTGCGGTTCACGGGTGGCAGAGGACAGGTGCACGCAGTGGCAGCACGGAGTGGCACGTTAATTTTTCCATTCTCAGACACCAACTAGGCTCCATGCGCCCTCCATGCGCCCCCCTCTCTACTGATGCTCACGTGTAGGACAGGTGGTTTAGGGTCAGTGTATGGATGGACTGGGGTGGACAAACATGGTTTGATTCATAACGCAAATGGGGTCAGAAGGGTTGCAGGGAATAATGGCATGGGGAGCAGGGCAGGGGGGGCATTCAGGGCGGAGCATTGGAAGGGGGCAGCAGCGGCTGACCTCGCCCTTGGCGATCTTCTCATTGCAGTGCCGACACGCCGACCGGTTGCTTGCAGCATACGCCACCTGAAAGCCAGCCACCGTCCCCGCTGCTGCTCCTTCCCCCTCCGAACCTGAATCATCCGCCACTGCCTTCCCCCTTTTCCCCTTGCTTTTCCCTTCGCTCTTCCCCCCGTCACTCTTCGCCCCCGCAGCCGCAGCAGCCTTCCCCTTTCCCCCTTTGCCTGCTTTCCCTGCTTTCTCCGCTTTCCCCTCGCCCCCCGCGCCCTGCGCGCCCTGCGCGCCCCCCTCCCCCTTGGCGTACGCCCGGAGCGCCTGCTGGTCCTCCCAGCGCAGCACGTCCGCGCCCTCCACGTCGCCCACGCTGGCAGGGGGAGACGGGAGGGGATACGTCGTGGCGTTGAGAGGCGACGGTGCTTGGGAGAACCGTGCGGAAGGGGCAGAGACAGAGGCGGTAAAGGGGATAGGAGCAGACGAGCAGACGAGCATGGGAGCAGGGGAGCAGGGGAGCAGGGGAGCATTGGTGGCAGGAGGGGCAGGGGGGCACTGACTTGGTGATGAATCCCGGCGCCTTGAAGATGCAGCTCGCGTGGAACCACAGCTGCTCCGCGCACATGGTGGCGGAGAAGGGGGGATGGGAGAGGCATGGGCGGAATGAGAAGTAGAAGGCGCAATACGGAAAAAGGGAGGATGAGATGCAAATTGAGAAGAGGGAGCGGAATAAGGTTGAGAGCGGAGAGTGAGAATGGAGGGAGATGCAGGGGAGGCGGAACGGCGCGTGCATGACTGTAATGCCTTCAATCACAGGACACTAACCAGAGAGGAATAACGCCATGAATTTCAGAGTCATTAGAGCCATCGAAAGTGACGCAATGCGAGATGTATCCATAATGAAATCCGAAGCCACTATGAGCGCATTACCGTCATGAAGCCGTCGAACTGTTTGGACTCGACGACTTTGGCGATGCGGAAGGCGTCCTTGGCGATGCTCTCTTTGCACTTCCGGCAGCTCGCGCGCGCCGACTTGGCGTACTCCACCTTGAACGGCTTCGGCTTGGCGCGCTCTGCCTCGTCCGCCATGGCGATGGCGTGTCAAGTACGCGGGGGATGATGGTCTGTGCGCCTGTGACTAAAATGGCGCGAAATTTATGGTAGGTCCTTGGTGGCATTGGAAACCCAGAATTTGCCGTACGCAGTATTGACGGTCTCACTCTCGGCAGGTAATAATTTGCCGAGCCCAGAACGTGCTCTCTGGACGAAAAAGCTAGCGACAGTGTCAAACAAATAGCTGCTATCATAGAGCTTGCATTCCTTCCTAGGCATTACATTCTATGTGCATTACATGCGGACATTACGGTATGATATTACCGAAACTGCTTTGTAGGTGCACATGTGGGAGGTAGGAGAGGGAGTGAAGACGGGAGACAGCGAGGTATGAGCGGGTAACGAGGATACCCCACGGGAGACAGACGGCTGCGATCGCCGCGAGGACAAGAACTCGCATTTCTACGCGTCGATTGCTGCGCTGCATTTTGGATAGTCCACGCCGAGTACGTAAGTTCGAGCTTGGGAAATTTGGCATGAAGGGGGAAATGATCAAGCGAGGGCTGTGCTTGTTTGTTGCTTCGGTTGAAATGGGTTGGGTTAGCTTTCAAAATGAACACAAAGTGCTTCTGCACTAGGCTATGAAGAAAGCTCGTGGTGGTACTGCGAGCGCCTATAACGAGTCAAGGACTCCATCTCCGCATCCAGGGCGTACGAATTCCCTGCGACTTCCACTCCAGCACTCTTCTGCTCTTGCCCCCACAGTTTCGGGAATCCCAAGGTTGCTGTCTTTGCCTGCTCGCGCTTCAAGCTTGTCGCACTTCACACGCAACCAGCTTCCTGCGCTCCTTACCCTATATACTGTCGTTTCCCGTTCAGATCCTTGCTGCTCCAAGGCATTGTCTGCGACATGTCCAGTAGACGTGCAAAGGTGCTTCTAGGTGTAACGGTCCTCGCGACTGTCGCTGGCGTCGCATACGTGCACCAGTTGCAAGTGAAGGAGCGAGAGGTGTGCTACCTCTTCTCATTGCCTATGTTTTTGTCTTCCTCCATCATTCAGTCACGGTTATATTCTCTCAGCACTGTTTTCACTGTGTCATTGACACTAAGTGGCACTTAAGGCATTGCACATATCCGCTTCGTCTGCTCATGGTGTTTAGTCGCGTTTTTCAACTCCCACTCGCTTCCGCGAATCCCCTCACGCCACGTGGCTCAGAACCTCCACCGCGGCGTGTTGCGCGACGACCAGCTTTTGGAGGAGAAGCGTCCCCAGTTCCAGTCGCAGGCCCAACCGTCGCATTCACGGCTGTCGCAGATGCAATCGTCGCCGACATCCCCTCCAGCAACGCAGCAGCAGTAATTCGAATTCGTGACACCACACGAGGCATCAGGACATTTTGTCCCAGATCCAATCACAACCGTCAGCGTCTTCACCCTTGGACCCGATCCTCCCACTCTCTGTCTCATTCATATGGCGCTCGCCCTGCTCCCCCTCGCCCTGCGCCCCCACGCCCTCTCTGCTCATGCACTATGCCCTCACGCTGTCTCCCCACATGCTCTGTCTGTGCATGGAAAGGGGCAGCTTGGACTAGCAGCAGTGGATGCAGGCCCATCCCCGTCACCATCCCAGTCAGCATCATCCTCGTCAGCATCCTCGTCAGCATCCCCTTGTGTTGTTCATCAGCGCTTCCCGCCTGCATCTGTTTTGATAACTGCATGTACAGTCACGCCTGCACTCCCACCAGTACAACCATCCTTACAGTCACACCACACATTCATGCACACCCTGCAGCAGCAGCAACAATATCAGCAGCAGCAGCATCATCAGCATCATCATTATCAGCATCAGCAGCATCAAAACAGTAACAATGCACCCTCGCCCCTCGACGCAACCATTCCCACCACCACCACCAACACCACTCTCGTAGCTGCCCTGTCTGCACTCATAGAGGAACACTCTCACACGCTCTCTCTATGCCACATCACTGGCAAGGTGCGGTCTCTTGGAACGAGCACGGACGGCACTTGCACAAGCAACAGCACCAGCACTGGCGCTGGCAGCAACAGCATCACTAGCGGCAGCGGGAGGGCGAGTTCAGGCCAAGGGGGAGCAGGGAAGGGGAGGGGTGGCTCAGGGAAGCGGTTGAACTCAAGGAAAGGGAGGAGACAGGCACGAGAGAGCAGGATGAGAGAGGACGGGGAGGAGGCGGCAGGGGGGGACCAAGGAGGGGGAGGCGGGAGTCAGGGCGAGGGACAGGAGGAGAAGCAGCAGGCAGGGCTGTAGCGTGCGAGTCTGAATGATGTCGCAATGAAGCATGCTCAAACGATGCAATGCCCTCAGGGGATGCTCGTGCTGACAGGCCACACAACGGACTGGTGTCACCATGGCATGCAGTGCGCCAAAACGACATGCATGGGAGCGGATCGGTGCCGCCGTGGGATGAGTCGCGGGGAGGGGATGGGCAGGCGCGGTTCCTGTGTGATTCCATGGTGGAGGGGCTGGCACGGCAGCTGCGCTGTGTGGGCGTTGACACCGCCTCTCCCAAGACTCTCGGCCGAGGCACGTGTGACACCAGGTATGGTATGGTTGAGCTTGGATGATGGTCGGGTAGATTGGGCACGCGAAGTTTGACAAGAAGGGATTCCTATTGCGATTGTATCATGCCAAATGAGCTTGTGCTGCCTCTGTTCCTACCCTGCCCACCCTGCTTCCTCACCCTTCCACAAGAACCTGATAGAGTGGCGGGAGAGGGAGGGCCGTGTGCTTCTAACGAGGGGCGTGAAGCTCTTCCGGCGCCGCCTGCTGCCGCCCAGCCACATGCACCTCATTAAAAGCACCGACAAGCGCGAGCAACTCCGTGAGGTGGTAACCGCGTTCCGCCTGCTCCTGTGCGAGTCCTCGCTGCTCTCGCGCTGCATCCGCTGCAACGGCACCTTAAAGCCGCAGGCGCTGGGGCCCTCGGAGGCAGCAGCGGCGGCGCCGTGGACTCAGGTGGTGCCGAGTCACGTGTTGGCGAGGGTGGAGGAGTTCTGGCAGTGCTGCCAGTGCCACCACC